ACTCATCCAAGCCAACGGTTTCACGGTCCAAGACGGCCCGCGCTGGTACTGGGCTAGGTGCCATGTTTGGTGTTGCTCCGCCCCCGCCTTCACGATCAAAGTCACATCGCACACCCAAGACGACGTCGCGCCGACCCTCCATCGACCAGGACGCTGCTATGATGTCGCCACCACAAACAGATACTGACGCAAGGGTCTCTTCAAAGGCCGCCAAGGTCATGGGCATGAAAAGCTCGTCGCGCAGGACCAGCACTCGGGACGCCAGAGATAAGGGCTTCCGTCGAGGTGAGCCGTTCCCCGCTAAGCACGATGCGCCTGTCATTGGCCGGCGCAGCCGTAAGCAAACATTCGAAGCTAACCCTATGGCAGCTGTTCCAGACCCGTATCCTATTGACGACGACCAAGATCTTGACGATGAGTCTCCTCCCCCAGCTTCTCGTCCAGAGCCATCGCGTCGCAAATCCAAGCGCGACTCTGCGCAACCCCTTGAACCCTTGACTGCACCGCCTAGCGCTGACGATCCCATCGTCGTCGACCCCATGGACCTGGACCCTGCCCCAGCTGAGGCTGAGCGGCCCCGCCGCGAACGTGAGCGGGAGCGACCTCGTCGTGCGCGCGGCAACTCGGATGCCATGGGCACGCTTGCTGGTGTCGCAGGTACTGCTGCTGCTGTGAAGGGCTTCAAGGGAATGTTTGGCCTTGGTCGCAAGAAGGCTGCGCCGGAAGAGGCACCCCGCGAGCGCCGCCGGACCGCCTACGAGACCGAAGACGAGCGCAGACATCGCAAGCGATCGACAACCCGCGGAGGCGCAACAGAGGATGAGGCGAAGCGGCTGCGACACGAGCGCCGCAGTCTGCGCCATCCACCTCCTGAGGACGTTATGATGTCAGGCGCAAACGGCACCCCTGAGGACTACGATGCTGAGCGAGAGGCTCGACGAGCTGAGCGTAGATCCAAACGCGATGGAGACAAAGGAGCCCGGCGCGCTGAGCTTGAAGAGGCAGAGGCCAAAGCAGAGCGCCGTCGCGAACGTGAGCGCGAGAACGAGCGTGCGACTCTTGCGGAGAAGAAGGCCCGTCAGATGGCTGAGTTGGAGCGTCGCAACCAGGAGGCCGAGGAACAACTGCGTCGCATGGCCGAGAAGGAGGAGCGGAAGAAGGCACGAGGCGAGCGCAAACCGCCCTCCGACGAACGAGAGCGCGAGAAGCGTTCTTCGCGCCGCAAAGACAAGGACCGCGAAGAGCCCCGCCCAAAGACCGAACGCCGTCGAACAGTGCACGTAGACGAAGACGCAGAACGTCGCCGTCGTCACGAAGAGCGCCGCGCCGCCAGACGCAACTCCGAATACCCCGTCGCAGCCAGCGGCGAGCCCATCACCGACTACTTCGACGAACGCAACGGCGGGGCCCGCAAACACCGCAGCTCGCGCCAGGCCCGCGACGAGGAAGAAAACATGCCGTACAGCAACAACAAGAGCGGCGACAAGACCTCGTCGTGGGTGGAATCCCTCTCCAACGAGCCACCCCTCCCTCCCCCCATCTCCGAAACCGTCCTCGACCCCGCCCCCGGCGCGCGCGAGACCCCCGAGGAAGACGAAGAAACTTTTTCGCAAGACGAAGACATCCGCCTGCGCATCGCCGGCCGCAAGGGACCCAAGCGCGATAAAGAACGTGCGGAGCGCCGGAAGGCAGAGGACAAGGAGCGCGACCGCGATAGGACGCACAAGCACAGTCGCCGGGCTACACACTATGAAGGCATGAAGACGGTTGACGACGACAGAGAGCGCAAGAGGGCGTCCCGCCGCACAAGCTACGTGCCTGCGTATGAAGAGCCGCCTGTTAGGACTTGGGATGGCAGACCGGCTGTTGATGGCGGTGCCCCGGCTGTCAAGAGGGGAAGCTGGTTTAAGAAGATGTTCTAAGCCGCGCCCTTCTTCTCTTTTTCTTCTTGCTCACAACTTTTTGGTTAACGATGGACTTTTGGTTTACGATGTAATATGGGTTTTACGAAAGATTATCTTGGTGGAGCCTGTTTGGTATTTTGGGATGATGACAGCGAAGCGACAGCGTGGTTTGGATCTCTTGCTTGATTAGCATTGCGTGGCGCTTTTTGATTCGTTCTCTCGATCTTTTCTTGTCTACTTTACTTACTTACTTTACTTCATGAGAACTACTTTATCTTCTTCGTTACATCCTTCTATCTTGTTTTAGCACCTTCCAGCGGCACTGCCTTTCTGTGATATCCTGGTTTAGGTTTCTGTGGGTATTCACTGGACAGGAGGGTGGATGGAATGTGTAGGAAAGTCAGATAGATACCCCCTCTCTTTTAGTAGTTCTTCAATACTAGCAATCGTTGCAACTGCAAATCAATCCTGCCAGTGTACATGTGAGCTTTGGCTCTTTCAGGTATCATGCAAGTCATAATCTGCATTGTTTGATCGTCGTTTGGTATATCAGATACTGCTTTAACACCCAGCCATGACGCCTATCGCCAAACCCATGCTAGTTCCTCTCGGATGCTATAAACTACTCGTGCCTCCATCTTCCTAAACATGCTTCCCACCCCTCACCCATCCATCTGTACAATAGTGAAACGGCCATTATAGGCCCATTTGTCACAGCTGTACAACGGCCCCCTCAACGCCTTCCTGAGTCTCCATATCATCGTCGTCCTCGTCATCTTCCAGATCCTCATCTTCTTCCTCAAACCCAGTCTCCATCTTAAGCGTCTTGAGCCTATCTTTCATCTCATCCTTTTTGTCTGCCTGCCACCGCGCCAGCGCTGCTGCAGAGTGTACTTTGAAGCCGAAAACACGGGGCTCGTACCGCCGTTGCGATTTCGGTGGCAGCATCGCAGGGTAGACTTGGAAGAGGATGTTGTGGAAGGAAGTGCCGAAGTAGGCACCGTCGATTACGGCGTGGCGGGAGGATTTGGGGTTGTAGAGGTCTTCGCAGCGGGCGCAGTAGAGTTTTACGGGGGAGGCGTTCGGGACGTCGGATTGACCCATGGGGAGGAGGGGTTGCGATTCGCACATTACGCGAGGACATTTGCCAAAGTCTGACTTCTTGAACTTCTCAAGCTGGGTAGAGTGTTAGTCGTGGGCGCGGGGGATAGGATGTGAGCGCCTGACGTACCATCTTGGCAAGGCCCCTGGTAGTGACGATATATCGTGCGTGTACGAGTCCATAGAGATGCCGTGCCGACTTCTCGATCTGTTCCCGCATATCATCGTCGCAGTCGAAGTCGAACACGTCTGTGACGAGATCGAGTGCATATTGGTAGTACTGAACTTCCGTGTTCAGGCCTGTTAGGTTGAAGCGATCGGTGAGGTATTCTTCGTCAATCTCGCAGAAGTATTCGTTTCCTCGAGAGGATATGAACTAATTGTTTGTTAGCCTGCGTTGAAATAAATAGCTGCATCTGCTCTTCTACGCTGTCGTGATCCTCCCACCAGTCGGACCACCACTCGCTCTGCATGAGCATGAGTGGGCCCCATTTGGCCGAGAAGATAGTATAGTCTTCGTCGACTTCGAATGAATGAAGGCACCTCAGCGTGGAGATATAGCCGTCTTCGCCGCAGTCACCGCTGGCGCATGGTCAGACGCGCCCTGCAATGGAGGGCTGGCAGAGCATACCACGCCATGAGGTACCTATAGTTCCACCCCGACGCCCCCAAGGTTTGTAGAGACATGACCAGCGATCAAAGAATACCGGTGTTGGTAATGTATGGAGTTCAGGTACTCACCCAGTCTCGCCAGTAGCTTGTGTAGTCGCTGTCCGTGTCGCTGTTGAAGTCGTCCATGTTTGCGCTTGCTCTCGGCGACGATGTCCGAGGGGGTTCGGGCGTTCGTATGTCTTGTTTGTAGGCTGCGACCACCGGCGGGGTGGGGCGGTGCGATCAGGCGCAAGCTCGGGTCGGGACGCGGTTGCGGAGTGAATTGCGCGCCCACCTAGTGGGATGGCAGTCGTCGCATCCCACCTCCACTGCTTGTTTCTCCGCTCCGGGCGCGCTAGTCGCTTGGGCCGCGTCCCATCAACATGACAACCCCAGACTTCCCCACCAACCCTGTCTACTGGGTCGCCAACCATCTGTGCCAGTATCTACGTACAGGAGACGGTCTCGACTTCAAGCCTTGTTCCGGAAGAGGTCCCTGGGTCCAGACCATGCTACGGGGCAGGTACGTGCACGTGAGGTGCCTAAAAGATTGATTGCACGAAGTCAATCAATGTCTTACTACATTTCGTACACCGATGTCACTTGCTTAAAGTTTGATGTACGACGCCAGTAATCCTCTCACATCAATTCTTACATGAATCTTACTTGCCATTAGGCTAAAATATTCACTGTTCCAAGGTTCCGCTGCTATTTCTTCGCATTCGTGACCGTCTGTTTGTTAGCCAAGAACTCTGTTTCCTTGTTATATAGTTTGCCTGTGATTCTTTCCATCATACTGCGAACAATTCGTTTCGGTCGTTTAGTTCGGGGCCTCGAAGCAGGTCTTCATAATTGAACCCTCTCCTCTTAGTCACGCTTACCAGCAAGTGCTATCCCATATCCGCCTCTCACGTCCATTTGTACTGGCGACAGGTGTCTTACCAATCACCCCGTTATCACGACGTGCGCGATGTGTGCCGCCGCAAGCGCTCTCCAGCCTATTTCTAGGTTCTGCTCCCAGCTATCTACCATAGTCGAGTACATGCCTACTTCTGCTGTTTATGGTAGACAGAACCCTTCCATCGACGCAGACCGTCTGTTCAGAGATACCGAATCGCGGTTCCCGGAAAGATGGAGGAAGGATGGATGGTATCTATTCACTGTGAGTACGATCTTTCCGGGAGAGACTCTAAAGTTGACAATGCGCGTGTTTGATAGACAGCAGCACTTATCGCCAGCGGCCAGCCAGGGCTGATAGGTCCTCTCTACAACTACATCATCTCACAGCCGTCATATCAGACGTCTGCGGAGAGACAACGTCTCGTACGGCGCATGAGAGAAGCCATGATCAAATGCATCATTCTCAACGGCATTCCCGTCGTCATGGAAGCTTTTGTGTCTCTTGCGAAGCAAGAAAAGCCCGAAGATCAGGATCACAGTTTCACCCGCAAGGATTGGAAAGCTGATAAAGCGAACCACAAACGCGGTCTCTCTGTTCTTGAAACGCTTTATGGCGATGATAATGAGAAAATATGGGCATCATTCGGTTCACACAAAGACATACGTGAGTGCCCTACGACTCTCCGCTGCTCTCCATCTTGAGGCTAATGCGCTATGTAGCGTGGCTCTCGACCGACATTTCTTATGGTCTGTTCCTGGCCGATCACAACACTCTCGATATCATCGAATCTGAGCTCGTTATCTTGCCTGCGATCATGTGCCAAGGCCTCGTTCCTTCAACGAAATGGCATCTACGTGGGTGTCTCCGAGTCGGTTGCACACGCGAGGAAGTGGAATGCATACACCAGGCTATTGAACATATCGCAAAGATATGTGGGAAACAACTAGAAGGTCTACCGAGAGTCTCGGATATACCTACAGATGAGATGTGAAGGACCAGCAAGGTCAAAGAAGCCCTGATGGTATCTGGACATATGTTGATATACAGGCTGCCTCGTAATGTTAGACTATCACGCGACCGGACTAGCTCTCCCGAGGTCGATGTATTGATAGCATGGCGTTTGACGTTACTTGAGAGCATAGTGTAGTAGATCTTGCTCGCGCTTCACAACTAATCGAGACAAAACTGGGCATGAGGAAGTACACGTAAAATTGGTATCAAACGCACATCTATCTCAAACCTTCGCCACCGCTGTCAAGTACTGCTGACTATGAGGGTAGTCGATATATCCCTTCGGTATCTTGGGAGTATAGAAAACAGAGCGGTCATACTTGACCAGTGGTACGCTCTCCTTGACGCGGAAAACCAGATCGGGGTTGGAAACGAAATACCTCCCAAACGCGATAATAACATCATAGTCCTTGTACGTCTCATCAACAGTCTGCTTCGCTGAGTCGGGTAGGAAGCCACCTGCAAGCATGACTGGACTCGCATTCCCCCATTGCTCAACCATCCACTGTACGGTCTTCTGGCCTCCGCATTCAGAGTCGTCGTTGCCGGTGATGCGGGCTTCGATTAGGTGGAGGTAAGCCAGACCCAGTTTCTTCAGCTCTTCAGTGAGGTATTCGAAAGTCGGCTCGGGCTCATCCATTAGCATGCCGTTGAAGTCGCTGTAAGGGCTGAGGCGCATTGCTGTTCTTTGAACTCCAACAGCAGCGATAACAGCCTTGGTGACTTCGAGATGGAACCGGGCGCGTTGTTCAATACTTCCTCCCCAGCTATCGGTCCGTTGGTTACAAGTCGTTTGGAGGAATTGATCCGGCAGGTATCCATTTGCACCGTGGATTTCGACGCCGTCAAAACCCGCAGCGATCGCGTTCTTGGCTGCATTCGCATAGTCTGCTATGGTTTCCCAAATCATCTCCTCTGTCATTTCCACTGGAGTTCGGTCTTGAGATGTGATGGGTACCGCGCTGGATGAGACCAGCGTGATGCCTTCTGCGTCCAGCGCATCGGTCTTTGCGGCACGGCCTTGATGCCAGAGTTGGCAGTATATCGCACATCCTTTAGCATGTACTGCTGACGTGATGTCTTTCCAGGAAGCGATGTGGTCTTCTTGCCATATTCCTGGGGCATTTTGGGCGCCGATGGCGTTCCTGGAGATGATGGTTGCTTCGCTGACGATGAGCGTGCCAGGTACACATGCTCGTTGCTCGTAATACTCTGCGATACTTGGTCAATATCGGCCCTTCGTAGTAACGGTGTTCAAGGTACCTTTGTTCATGGGCGTCGCCTTGTAGTCGTCGCCCATGCGATACCGGGTCAACGGCGCCATAGCGACACGATGACCCAACTTTACATCTCCAACTGTCAATGGTTGGAAGAGTTTCGTCATCTTGGCAGTCGATGTTGGTACAACAGAAGACGAGGTAGGATCTGATCAAGTAGTCTCGCAAAAACTGTGTAATGGCCTACAATGTCAATGTTTCGTAGCTCTTTAGAGAGTGTATGGCTGTGTCTACCACACATATTATGGCCATTGCCCAAGCCTTGTGATGGGTCACCATGGTCGTTATCGGCAACCCACCTGGGCAGCCTCGCAAACCCCACCTGACACATGGCATCTGTCAGTCTCAGCAGTGATGCCGAGAACTCGCCTGAATACCTTCAATGCCGTTTTCAGCGTTATGGTCCGATGTCGATACGAACAGCTATCGGCGAAGGGTCTCAGGGGCCGAACATGCGTCGGCTCAAAAAGTTCCGATGAGAAGGCCCCGCACGTGCCCTGCTAAGACGATCCACTTCGCAGCCTCACCGTCATCGGCTTTCATCCCATAATGCCACTTACGCCATCGAAGCGTGTAAGCGTTTCTGCGATGTGAGTGGGCCCCTCAACTGTGACTGGCTGCTTTCGCAATTCCTCCACGAGGAACACACCTCCCGACGATCTCGCAGCTGTCGACCGGCGTCATGACAGGGCTCAGTCCCGCTCGGACAGCCTCCCGGGGCTCCACGCCCAACTCCAACGCTAGCTACGATGTCTAGGACCGTTGGTCTTGTTCCAAATATACACTTACGCAGAATCGCTATGTTTTTGAGGCTTGTAGCGACTGTGGAAGAATCCGATGATGCGGGAACAGCAAACCTCCATTGACGAGATGGAATCGACGCGCCCCATCAGAGAGAGCGATACATGCGTTGGCAATACTCTCGTTGAGAAGCCATCCATAGACGACAGACCATGCGAATCAGACATACCTACAACGAATCCTCATGGCGCGTCCCCTTCGCCTACCGTGGAAGAGGATGATGACGACAAGAGCGACGCAGCATCCATTGGCGGCCAAAGGAACACCATGACATCGACACAACTTCGAATCGCAATCCCCGCACTATCAGTCTGTCTCTTCGTTTCGTTCATCGACCAAACCAGCGTCTCAACAGCAACACCCGCGATCGCTGTGGATTTGAACACCGGGACTGCAACATCATGGATCGGTACATCGTTCCTGATCGCATCGACGGCGTTTCAACTGATAAATGGTCGTTTGTCGGATATCTTTGGTCGCAAGAATCTCTTGCTGATCAGTCTGATGTTGATGGCTCTGGGCGACCTTGGATGTGGCTTCGCGCGAACGTCAGTGCAGTTATTCGTTCTACGTGCCATTGCTGGTATTGGAGGTGGCGGCATCAACAGTCTTGTCATGATCATCGTTAGCGATATCACGACGTTACAGAACCGCGGCAAATACCAAGGTAAGGACCATTAACTATCTTATAACCGAACAGTGCTGATACTTCTACGCAGGATGGCTAGGTGCAGTCATCGCCCTGGGGAATGGTGCAGGACCTTTTCTTGGAGGCGCTATCGTTGAAGGAGCAACTTGGAGGTGGGTGTTCTGGATAATACCCATCATGACCGTACCCACCTCCATGGTCATACTATTCTTCTTGCCGCTCAAGCATCGGTCTGGTGACTACCTCGCAAAGGTCAAGAAGATTGACTATGGCGGCATGGTGCTGAACATTGCATCCACCTTGCTTGTGCTCATCCCCTTGTCAGGAGGTGGTGTGACATATGCATGGGGATCTCCCTTCTTCATCGCCTGCACTGTCACCGGCGCCGTGCTAGGCATACTATTCGTGCTTCACCAATGGAAACTCGTCGCACTCCCGATCATGCCGCTTCGATTATACCGCGCGCCGCACTGCTGGGCACTATATCTACAGACGTTCCTCATCGGCCTGGCGTACTTCGGCAACTTCTTCTACCTCCCTATTTACTTCCAATCGGTCCTCAGGTACTCGCCCCTGGCCTCGGGTGCTTTGATTCTACCAGTAGTCATCACGACATCTTTTGCGTCCATCGCATCTGGTCAGTACATGAACCGAGTCGCCAGCTACATGCACTGCATCCTGGCCGGATTTGCTCTCTGGACTCTTGGAAGTGGCCTCACCCTACTATTCGACCGAGACACGGGTCTTGCCGTGCTAATCGTTGTACTCATCATAGAGGGTGCCGGTATTGGTCTGACGCTTCAACCAACCCTTGTGGGTATGTACGCCAACAGTCGCAATGAGGATCGTGCTGTGACAACTGGCTTACGCAACTTCATCCGCACTATCGGTGGCGCTTTTGGTCTCGTCATCTCAGGAGTCATCCTTTCGAATACGCTCAGCAGAGATTTGTCTAAGCGGCCCTTTGTTTCGGATACCCTGATGGCCCAGTTGACTTCCTCAACGTACGACCTCGATAAGTTTGGCCTCTCTCTGGATCAAAAAGAAGAGGTTTTTGATACCTATATGCTTGGTCTGCATTACATCTTCATCTTTTTCACAGTATGCTCAGGTCTCGGTCTGGCTCTGACATTCTGGGTTGGAAACACGAGCTTAAAAGCGCCGAAAAAGCCGGACGAGGAAGAAGGACAGCCGATGGAGACGCAGGACGAACCTCAGCAGCAAGTCATCCAAGGTCGAGAAGTCGCATCGGAAGGGGAGGTCTTTGATGAGAAGAGGCCAATGACAGGGGAGGCTGACGTAGAACGCAACGTTCACACGAGATGAACGATTATATAGCACATCATCAGAGCTCAATGATGACTTTGCGAAGTACTTGTTCGGGCCTTGTTGATTTTAAAACTTCAAAAGTCTCATAGACATATATCATAAAAGTCTTATAGTATCTATCGTGTTCACCCGACGGGGAGCTGAGGATCGCGTAGGCAGTGGTCACAAAAATATTTCACTATCAGAGCAAACCCTTCGAGCCGCATGGATGTATCCAGACCTTGCCCATGAGTAACACGTCCATGTATTGGCCTTCCTCTTACGCTGCCCTGATGGCCAAGGATCCCGAGGTCAGCTGGGTGAAGTGCGACTATCGAAATGGGGCCATCAAACGTATACCAGCGACTTCGGAACTTGAGCGCAACATTACTCCGCAGCAAGACCCATCTTCCACTATCAATTTACTAGAGAATCGTCTCCAACTCAACCTGGTCTTTAATCCTTGGTATGCCAACTTAGGTAGGTCAGTACAGCCCCACAAAGGCCGGTCGTTATCGGCGAGTCGAGATTGGCCTATCTATCGACGATCCCCCTCCAAGCCATGTTCTCCATACGGTTTCTTCCAAGCCGATAAACACATTCATCCGTCTGATAACACGGCGGTGGGTCACAGCCGGCCGCAGGAATGCCATCGCATCGTGAGGCACGGCAGAGAATGGAAGATGGCCGATTACGTGAGGACGTCACGGATGAGAATGGCCGATAGCTAGGTAGGCGCTGCAGAATGGCCGTCGCGACATGCTCCGCTGGTGATACATATATGTTGCATCGCGAGACTTCGGTGTTTACTACTTCAGATCTACCACATCTTCTGTAATCAAATCAAGCTTGTTGTTCTCCAAACATCGTCATCATGCCTGAAGTCTACGCCGCACCACCCGACTACGCCTTCCCCCGTAACTTCAAGGGTTATGGCGAGAAGGG